GCAATACAGGCAAGGATCCTGATGAATGGGCTTACCTGAAACTCCTGAGGTCCTACCATGCGGACCCTTGGGCTTGATCCACGACGTGATGGAACAGATTTGAAAGCCGGGCCAGTCGCTTCTGAGGACAGGACGGCCAATGACGGATACCTGGACTGGCTGGTTATAGAAGCGGCTAAATTGTCGTCGTCATCACAAGAAACTGGTAATGGACTTAATGTGGTGCTATAGTCGGACAGACGGTCCACAGCCCAAACCCAGTCCTCCAGCATGCCGGTTTCAACGCCCAAAGAGGAAAGTAGACATTCAAAAGAGACAGGAACACCACAGGTAGACATTTGGCGCCACTGTTGCGGGGACCATTGTGCTGACGCAACAAGAAGGCCAGTCATAACGGATGCTAGCATCTGGCAAAAGATTAGAAAAGCAGTGAAGTTGTAAAAGCCGAAAAAATCAAATCAAAAGAAAATAGCAATGAATAAAAAAATGAGAAATGAAGGCGGAAAATGACTTTTTTCCTTCTTCTATTTCCAAATCCATCAGAAATATGGCGAATTTAAAGATGCAGACCAAAAAAACTCTGTAATTCCAAATGGATGGTGGTCATGCTGCACTCTCTGGTGTCCGTCGGTCAGTATGTCAAAATCATAAGCGAGTGTTGATATGCTGATAAGATAATGAGATAGGAGACAATTAGCTTGAACGAAGAAGAAAAAGTAGAGCCCTACAAATCTGCCAAGAGCGAGAGTCATGTATGATAGTTAATTTCTCAGAGGCTTATGCTTTAAGTACACAGCAGAACATGGCCTCCGGTCCATGCCACCACAATAGATTCTGCAAATATTGTATACTAGAACGTTAAGAAAGAGCAACAGCGCAAATAATTAGCTTACAATAATAAACAAAAATTTTAAATTTGATAAAATCAGCCTAATCTTGCTATAACTCTGATCGGTTGTTGCTGAGCCTAAAGAAAGGTTAAAATACAGAATATGCTGAGGTATGATGAGAAGCTGAGATGATACGTTAGCTTATTCGCATAAAAGAAGAGCTTTGAGCACATCGGCTCCCCTTCCTGCATCAACTTAACTCGCATACATGCATAAAGCAATCAAACAAATCATGGAATGTCTCATTTAGATTGCAAAATGAGGTGTAAGAAGTAAGAATTTCAGCTAGCCACTTTTTTGGTCTTGTGCATTTCGGTGATTGTTCGTAGACGATGGTTTCTTGGTCCGACAATGTCGGTCACATGACGGAGGAAAGCTCATCACGTAGTTATCGAGATGGCATGACGATGAGTCGAGGTCTTCTTCGCATAATCCAACAGTCAAAAGTCTAAAGGAACTCGCATTTGGTATCAGAT